GCAAGGCGGTAAGGCGTTATTGTCAGTATGTATTGATTACGTCACGTCCACGATCGTGCCCGAGCAGCCCTAAGTATTTTGAACAGTATCCGAAATTGAGGAGATTTTGGTTCCGTTCGTCGCTAAATTTGCCCAAGCTACGATCAAACCATATTATTTAGAAAGAGAAATCTTTGTGAAAAGATGTAATCGAATTTGTTTTGGCGTACGAGAAGTTTGAGCGGAGATATTTGACTTTGAAGGCGATGCGGTCGTGCCGCCAGTGATTAACCTTTTACTGGTATATTATATATAGATGAGCACACACAATGTAGGCCACAGAAAATGTTACATCAACCGCTTTAAATGAGCTCATGGATTAATTAAAAGAATGCAAAGGTATTATACTATCATGTCAACTATATTTTATTGTTAAAATGTATTTATTTGACTAATTTAAGAATGTTTTTAGAATAGTTTTGGTTGACTATAAATTTGTTTATAAAAACCGTTAAAAACCCGCAACACCTGATCATTCATTCTGAGATTGGGCCGCCTGTGCTTAGACCTTGCACCTTAAACTCTAAGCGCAAAGAGTACAATGGGAACGCTCTCCATCGTAAATTTTGGCTATATGCAAAAGTTATTGGGTTATGAAAATTAAGTATTTTACGGTGTGGTCCCATTGCCCTTTTCGAGCTTAGAGTTTATGTTAAATGGATAGAGTTTGGAAGGACAACCTTTTTTGGATTGCCTATATATGCATGTATTGTTTGACCACCACACGCCCACGTTTCGACCGTAAACATTTAAGCAACCCACTTTTCGAAATTTGTCAGCCACCTGATGATTCCTCTTGCATGATGAAACAGGCTGATGTGGCTGTATAATATATAGTTTATTTGATACAATTGTGTCTGTGCGTGTTGCTGTGGTAGCTTGTTGTAAAGATGTGATATTTGCCGTTATTATTATGACATTCAGTATGTAGTTTATAATTCCAGACTTCCATCTGTCCTGGCCGCGTAGCTCAGTTTGTAGAGCGTCGATCTAGTAATTCGAAGGTCGCTAGATATGTATTTGTCATGTTTTGGGTTCTGGTCATTTATGTTTTAAATGTATTTTCCCAAAGATTTATGCCGCACCTCAAGGAAGAAACTCACTGAAAATTTTGCAACATTTACAAGATTGCGCGTATGTTAAGGACGAGCAGGTGATAATCGTTTGCCAAGTGGAAAATGCAACGTCATATCTTTGGTATAAAGATGGAAAATTATTGGAGGGAAAGACTGTATCTTTTGAGGTGAGAGGTTTGAAACTGTTCATAGGAAAATTCAATGAAACCGATGCTGGTGTCTACCAATGCGTAGGGAAAGATGGAAAGGGGAATTTTGGCAAGACTGCAGCTAAATTGTCGCTTGAAGGTATGGTATATACACATACTATATTTATCACACATTTGGGCCTTTATCAGGGCCAAATACAGGGTGACATAAAAGCGATATTTTTTGTCACTGCCTGTTATCGTTTTTTGTTACTGATATCGCTTTTTGTACCGCTGTTTATAATTTTTGCATTGGGGCAATGATTAGTATTCTAATAAATTCTGATCCTGATAAAGGCTCAAGTATATCAACAGATTATTATCATCTGGGCGATATCAGTTTTATCGCTTTCAGGACGAGATCATAAATGTCTCTCATTCGATGAAACTGATATCTCCTCGCCCTCCTAAGATAACCTACATGCTGATATACATAATGCAACTTGCATCACGGGACGGCGCTATGGAGGGGGAGGGGAGGGGGGGGACGCCCCACAAGCCAATTAGTCGACAAATTGTTTTCAGACAAAATATTTTTCTCATGAAAACATCGTAAAATATGGTAAAACATTGCTGTGCATGTGGGAAAATTTTTACCTCCCTACCCCGTACGTTACCAGAAATTCCTTGTAAATGTTAAAAGAGAAATACTTTTTGATATACGTATAGGAGAAATGACGTAGCAAAATTTCACTTACCCTCTCCCCCCGCAATAAAATAACACAATTTTGCATGCTTATAATTTTAATTTTAAAATATAGACCCATTGCACTGACGTCACAAATCCTTAGAGTGTCCTCCAGATGCTCCCTAACAATATCTGTTCGGGTACAACAACCACATACATGCAGTGCAAAAATCAACCATTTTAATACAAAAGTATTTTTGTTTTATTTTTTGTTTTAAGTTTTACAAAATTTGTTTTGTTTACAGAAGTTATATTATGCATAGATTTGTCCCACTGAACACTGATTTGTCCTTCAAATGCATCTTCACTAGCGCTGTGACGTCATGTGCAATGGGTCTATACCACGAACCGGATAAGCTGTGTAAAATCATAAGCGTTCGGGGATGATGCTTTCCGGGATATGGCACTTGAAAGTAATTTGTATGGAGAATTGTAATGAAATTACCTGAATTTAACTTATTTTGTTATAAATCTGCCCGAATTTTCTTGATTTCTCCTAGCATTTGCCCGAATTTCCATGGTTTTCCAAAATGTTGGGGGTGGCAGTTGCCCCCATGTTTCGTACGCCTATGTAATAGGCAATTGCAGCTTTTAGTTTATGCGTGTATGGGGGTGGCCGTGTAAACACGGTGTGATAGCTTATGCTTGTAAATATCGAAACATTTCTGTTGTGTCTGTTGGCGGTTTTTATTGAAATTTTTCAGCATAATCAGCAATATGATACCTTACTTCCCGTCACCCCTTGCGCGTATATATTAAAAACTGGAATTGCCTATTAAAATTAGCTAGATTTTAGGGCATCTCACTTGATTGAACATTAGTTGATGGATTTTGTAAATGGAAATTTTGAGTGTAAATTTAAGACATTTATAGACCCAACCATAGGAGCAGCAGCAAAAGGTGCAACTATAAAAGCACTCTTTGGAGGAATCGACCCTGCGATAAATTATACCGCAAGGTTGATTAAATATAACTAATCTATTGTATTTCTTATCTTTTTTAGTTGGAACAGATACGCTATGTAGGCGACAAAGAAGTGGGTATTGTAATATAATATACAGCCAATTCAAAAATGGTTTTCCTTTGCAAACCGTAGGAGCACAAGTTTCACGTCGATTAGTAGTTGAATATTGCGCATGCAGTTATTTGCGAATGATTTGTTCTCGCAAGGAGATATTTACCAATGGGCCCCATGATATAGAGAATAACATATGGGTGCGCGGAAATACCAGATTTATTTCTCGTGTTGAACATGATATGTCACGAGTGAGCGCAGCGAACGAGTGAGATGTCATGTTCAACACGAGAAATAAATCTGGTATTTCCAAGCACCCATGTATTTTTCTGTTTATTATATAAATGACAGTCTTTGAAAAGCGATATTTTTTACAGAAAAGCGATAATTGAAAAGCGATAAATTTCACATGTGAGATTATCATGAATAATCTCACATGTAGTGAGATTATCACTTTTATCAGTGCTCGAAATCTCTATAAAGCACAATACTTTATATAATAAATATGATTTCTGAACTGATTAAATGATGCTCCCATTATGCTTTGCACGCTTAAAGTTTAAGGTTTAAGGTTTAAAATTTAAGGTTTGCAAAAGACAACCTTTTTTGAATTAGCTGTATACTGTGGGGCTCTGTATATAAAACTATAAATGTCATGCTGCATGATGAAACCTACTAAACCGTTGGCTATGCAATTTCCTTTGCGCCAAATACATTTCAATATATTTTAAGTTAGAATTAAAAATCACAATTTTAACAATATACAAGCTGTACTCCAGAAACCACAATGCTTAGCTTAAATGCATTTTATACAATTTTTTATTTAATTAAAGCTGTTTAATATCTGAAATTTTAAAGTTTGCAGAATCATTTTAACAGTGATGCATGATCGCAGCCTGCGCCCTATCTTGAAATGAATAATACGTTTTACGTTGAATGGTGAATTCTGAACCTTTTCATTACCCTTGAATTAAGTCCTCGAATTTTCTAATACATGGCCTTGAAAGTCCTTGGAAAGTTCTTGAAATTTACTCTTCCTTAGCATCTTCCGCAGGCATCTTCTTAGGTCTTCCTGACTTGTAGAATCGCTGATATATGCAGCGTTGGAACTGCTAGAATAATTCATTATCGTTGTTATTTAATTCAAAGTATCAATAATTTTGGGTCTGCATAAAGTGTATGAGCCATACGAAACACTACACAAAAATCTCAATATATAGATCAAATATGTGCAAGCATGTTTATAATCATAAAGCTTACTATAAAACATAATACCGTTCATAAATACAATACTGTATGTTTTATTTAAACAACGAGTTTGAGTGTTTCATCAGGGGATCCAAACACGAGAAAACTGTATGAAACACGAGCGCGAAGCGCGAGTGTTTTATTGTTTTCGAGTGTTTGGTCCCCTGATGAAACACAAGAAACGAGTTGTTTACACAACATCTCAAACGAAAACATTTCATTGGCTTATATATATTATTATAGTATATTGTTTTGACTTGAATTTGTAATTAGGATCTCAGTTATTAGATGAAAACCGTTTTTCATCTAACAACAGTGATGGTATATGATTTTTAGCATGTTTCCTGCGGTATCCAACCTCAATCATGTGACGAATTAGGGTGAGTTCATTCGCTAATTTGCTCATGAATTATTAATGAGTTTGAGATATCATTATAAAGCTTGTACGATGTTGAAAACAATATTTCTGTAGGGGAAATATGTTCAAAATAGTCATATCTTCACATATCAAAATCGAATATTTTGTCTTACTATAATATTTTTTACAAACACTATTTCTGAACCATGTGCGCAAACACGACAGCGCATAAGCTGCTCAGTTACTTAGCAAATTGCCCAAGTTTTCAAGTAAAATCTGACCAAAATCTCGTCCGTCTCGTATGTCTATATGGTGGCAAAAATATACTCAACTCTTTGAAGCAGATTATCTCAAATCATTAATAATTCATGAGTATATATTAGGCTAGCCGAACAGATTGCTTTATTTTGCTTGCATGATAATATACTGGTGAAGTATAGTGATCCAGTTATAGGACTGGACCAAAATTAATTCTCCTCACTTTAATTATTTTTTTATTCGTATGAGATGTCATTTCAAATCCTCCAATAGATGATTCCATCTATCGACTATTTTTTTATCCATAGACATGGAAGACGATCTACAGGACCATTACAACTCAAATTAAATTAGTAAAAGTGCAAAGTTTGGTTGCAAAATGTTATAAACTACGGAAAATAATATAGCCCTGCGAAATTAGCAAATTTTGAGTTAACCTGAATGGCAATCCTTAATTTAGAGTGTTTTAGTATTACGCGCGGAAAAATGCACCATTTTCGGATAAAAAATGGCACATTTTTCTGTGCGTAATACTAAAATACTCAAAATTTGCTAATTTTACAGGGCTATATTTTTCGTATTTTACAACATTTCGCAACGAAACTTTGCAATTTTACTAATTTTAGAATGCTCTTTTGAGCTATAATGATAGATTTCGTCCTTCTTGTCTGGATAAAAAATTAGTCGATAGCTGCGTGGAATCACTCATCTATTCGGACTGGACTATAGATTTCAAGACCTCGCATTTTGATCCGGTCGTCGGCTTCCGGCGCCTCAGACTTGATCAAAATTGTACGTGCGGACTTGAAATCTAGCCCAGTCCTCATAATCGGATTTGAAATGTTACGTAGCACTTCAATTTTGTGAGCATTCAATTTCGTGAACATAGTACGTCAATTTCGCCGTGAAAGCTTTGTTTGAATCCTTGGAAATATAATTGCTACATCACATTTATATATTGTATTACTAGCTCTCTATAGCATGGACCAAGTGTATTAAATTATTGTAAAACCAATCGAAATATTGGACTCAGTAGATCTAAAGCTTCGCCATGCAAAGCCGCGGCAAAGGAATAAACGTAACCACAAAACAAACAAAACAATTGTATCTATTTTTACCATGCAAACCCACAAGATCAAGGATCTTATTGTGGTGGATTACAATGCCTTCAAAATAAAAAAAATATATTGGCTTTAAAAATCAAAATAAACTTTATTTTTTTTTGGGGGGGGGGGGAATGCTACATAGAGCGACTATATCTTTTCATCTAAAAATTGCGGCCGATAGACATATTTCAAAAGTTTAGTAGTTTTAAAAATATATTTGGCTTCAGCGTAATTGCCTACAAGTCTCGTCGTTTGTGGTATTTGCTCATGGACATGTCCAAGAAAACAAGAGAGTTTACTGTAATGGCAACGAAATTGAAGTCCGCATTTTTAGGCAGAAGAGCTAGAGATATAAACGGTAAAATATATTTGTGTACAATTTTTCTAGCTTATCATTTTTCGTTCTTGAGATCCATTGGCTTGTCAGTTTAGTTTAATTTGATATCGATACTCTAAATGAAAGGTGGCAGCCTAGTCAAAGGCTCACAGATGTCGAAATTATTACACTATATATGTTGTTGATACAGATGCAGCAAGCAGGCGCTCTTATAGTCTTGGTTTATAAATTTGCTTTATTGGTTCAATGACCAATGAAGTTCAGCATTCACATATTTCCAGAGTTGTGAGGAAAAGTTGAAAGCTTCCCGTTTGATACACAGCTGGTAATTTTGAGCAAGATGTCTGCTGACGATATGAGCCCGCACGAGTGGGAGTTAATTGGCTAAATTTGCCAACGTGTATAATTGCCAACGTGATGATACGTATTGCCATTGGCATTCATTATCATAAAACACGAAAGCAGTAAAGCAAATCTGGATTAAATTTGAGTTTACATCATTAATATATGAAACAGGACAGAACTGTCGGAAAATAGCTATGAATTAAAATATTGACATGCGGTAGTCTTAACTCTTGACAGTCATCAAACGCGTGCCGTATAGTTCCTCTATACTGTATCGATTATCGAACGGATTAAACATGTGATTTTCACATTTTAATACGTTATCAAGTAGATTAGTAGATTAGTACTGAATATAAATGCCACCACACTTACACACATTGGAGTGCCTTTGCCGCTGATAGAAATGATCACAAACTCTTACGCTGGAGCCACTCCTCAAATACGTACCCCCACCGGTCTTACTGCGGATATACACATCCTATCCGGTGTCATGCAAGGATGTCCGTTGAACCCAATTATCTTTAATCCAACCATTGACCTAATTCTCCGAGCGATCAAACGATCTGCTTCCGACATCTGCCCTGCTAAACTTCACGGTATTTCCTTCTTCGTGCTTGCCTGTGCCGATCGATGTCTTGTCGTCAAGTCCATAAAGAAAGACCGTCTCCATGCAGAAGCTTTTGAACGTTGTTTTGTCTATCGCTACAGACCTTGGCTTATTGGTGTTCCTATTGGCTTAATTTATGACCATGATAACATCTTGGATTTGGTACATGACCTTACTCGTGATTTTGAGAGCATCGAAAAATCACTGTTAGCTCCATGGCAAAAACTGGACATGATCCGTACCTTCCTTCGACCTTCCTTAACATTTGCTCTTCGTGCTGGTTTTCCCCAAAAAGATAATTTTTTGGTATACCGTTCACATCTCGTGGCTACTGTTCGTAAAATATGTGCACTACCTTCCCGTGCTTCTGTTGCTTACATCTTCGCTCATAAACGCGTTGATGTCTCGGTCTCCTGGATGCAACCCTTGAAGCTAATGTCCAAGCTATAATTGATGCAGTAAAAATGCTCTTCCGTTCCGACCTATAGTAATCAATACTGCCAATGCTGAGGTAAACCAAACTATCCGACTCGCTAGGCGATCTAATCCAAACCAGCTTTAAGATCAAAATAACTGTCTAGCCTCCCCCTCGATGACCGTTTGACCAACCTACGTTATAACATTCAATCACTACGACACATAACCTTGGTGTTGAAATCAAATTTAATGACAATGGTTTCCCTATCCATTCCACTGAGAACTCTGCAGATTCTGTTCTTGCTAAAGAAGCCAGTCGTCGTTTCCTTCATTTTCATGTTCAAGATCGTTTAATTTGCTTCCACCTTACTTGCTCTTCCTGACCAAGGGAAAGTGCGTTTCATTCATCGAGCTCGACTTGATAAGGAGGCTCCCTGCAGTTGACCCTATTTCCCAACATCTCTGCAGCAGTATTACAGGGCTATTAATGCATATTGTGCATGCATTCGTTTCTACTTGGAGGCAATAGGCCTATATAATATTGGTGGAATATTTAGAACTCTGCGATGTCTGATATTCATCGACAAATTATGTGCATAATTTATTGTTTACTTTGCATAGATATTAACTGTAAGTGAATTCATATATTAATAGACAACTAGATAAGTTAGTTTTGTTTACAAATTTTACATTGTATGCATGAATGTATACATAGTATTTGTAAATATTAAGTTAATTCATCTATTACAAAGACTCTCTAATCAAAATCTTGTAACAGGAAATGTGAGTTTCAGAAAATGTGTGTCTCAGACAAAAATTATTCTAGACTAAATACCTCACCTACATTGCAAACAACAAATTGCAAAAATATATAATTTGGATATATTGGTCAGGTTTCCCTCTTATGTTAATACAGACTACACTTGAAGGATATTAGCACACTGAGTAAATGGAAATACAATATTTAACATTCTATAAAATCTGTTTTGTCTACACAAGTCTCACAAACTATGCAATATTCCTGACTGGAAAGTTTGCAAAGGTTGCAGCTAAATTTTTGTTTTAATATGTAAAATGGTATTGTGCCACACACTACAAACTTTCCAGACTGCGAGACTTCTATAGTCGAACCTCCATATTTCAACCAGGCAATCGGAGAGTTTTTTGAAATTTTAAAGATTTTTAGCAAATCAGAAAGCCTTATTTTATGACGTAACACCGGGAGCCATCATCCCGCATAGTTTGACCAAACTGAGTCGCGAAATTGATGAATTTTCGCAAAATTAACTTGCTTTAAAGTGATGAGAGAAGAAAAAAACACAATGCAGAAGTACTAAAGTCATGTCTTATACCATTAAGTTTTTGTATAGGCTATAGTTTTAAATTTGTATTTTCTTGCCCACCTTGGGTACATATATGTATATATATATATATATATATATATATATATATATATATATATATATATATATATATATATATATATATATATATATATATATATATGTATATATATATATATATAGATAGAAGTGTGTTGGTAGACTGTAGGGATGAGGCTTTGTTAGTGAGAATGTTGTGAATCTCTCTAATCGACATGTAACAGTTGAAGAGATTAAGGTCTTATCTAGAGGTTTGAATTTTTGCCCTACGCCAAATAAGATTGATAAATTTCAATTGAAAAAAGAAATAGATGAATTTGGACGGCGTATTAAGTTAAAGTATTTTTTGATAAAGTTGACGAATCGGATGTTAATGATAAGAATAGGAGATTTAAAGACAAATCGAAATGGGTACCAGAAGTTAATGATCCCATGTTGGATTTGTTTTTAAAGAATTTAGAATGGGAGTTATTTTCCATCAATGAGAGTGGTCGTAATTATTCTAATTTAAGTTACACTGAGAGAAGATCGCTTACAAATTTAAAGGAGTATTCTGATATTGTTATTAAAAAGGCCGATAAAGGTTCAGCGGTTGTAGTTTGGGGTTTAGATGAATATCGAAAGGAAGCTCATCGTCAGTTAAAAGATGACGATGTTTATGAAAATTTTTTGGATAATCCCGTAAATAAAGTTGTTGCTCCCATTGATGAAAAATTACATAATTATGCGAGAGAGGGAAAATTACCCAATAAATTTGAAGTATCTTAAAGGGGAGAATTTAAATTTGGGAAGGTTTTATTTGCTTCCCAAAATTCATAAAAGTTTAGTCGATGTACCGGGTAGGCCAGTGGTGTCTAATTGCGGAACGCCAACGGAGAGAATTTCTGAATTTGTGGATTATCATATTAATCCTATTGCAAAAGTTTTGCCCACTGTTTTAAGTGATACTTCGGATTTTCTTAGGAGATTGGATGAGTTAGGGCATATACCGGAGGGAGCTATTTGGGGGACAATAGATGTAGTGGACTCTATCCGCATATACCTCACAAAGACGGCTTGGATAGTATGAAAAAAGTTTTGAGCAAATTTAATTTAAGGAGATTAATGTTAATGCATGAGTGGTATGTGGATGGAGTTAATTTGATTGAAATGGCTACTTTGATTTTGGAAAATAATTATTCGAGTTTGACGGAGAAATATAATGGCAAAAACAGGGAACAGCTATTGGGGCAAAATTTGCCCCGGCCTATATGCCAATATATTTATGTATGTCTTGGAAGCAAGGATGGTACAAGAATGCGAATTTAAACCATGGGTATGGTGGAGGTTTTTGGGTGATATATTTTTTATTTGGTTGCATGGCATCGAAAAGTTGGTAAAGTTTTTGAATTTTATAAATTCTTTTCACGAAACAATCCGTTATACTTGGGATTATTCTGCAAATCAGGTGTCATTTCTTGATGTAACAATCTGTAAGGAAGTAGGAGCGGGGATTTCTACTGATGTGTATTCAAAGCCTACGGATACACATCAGTATTTGGATTTTCGGTCATTTCACCCGAAGCATGTAAAACAGGCTATTCCGTACGGGCAAGCACTTCGTTTGAGACGTATTTGTAGTTCGGAAAGTAAATTTGATCAACGGATTGAGGAATTTAAAGGTTATTTGCACAAAAGAGGATTTGAAAAAACAAATGAGGAAAGGAAAAAACAAATAAGGAAAAGCTTGTGGATTCGAACGTAGTACCTTTAGTTTTGGATTTTCATCCAGCGTTGTCGGAAGTGAATGATAAGGTTAACTCTCTATGGTCGATAATACATGCTTCGGATGAGATGAAAGAAGAGTTTAAAGATAAAAAGCATTTGATTTCGTTTAGAAGACCTCGAAATTTAGCGAATAATTTGTTAAGATCTAAAATGAGGAAGTATGAACAAGGGGGCAGAAAAATGGCTGCGGAGCATTTATACGCACATTTCTTCGGCCCAGGGCATAAAGGTTTGGACGATGTTATAGGTTATAATTATTGATAAAACCAATATTGGTAAGCCTACACAAAGGGAAGCATTTTGGGTATACATTTTGGATAGTTTTGTACCTAGGGGATTAAATTAAATATGAGAGATTTTGATTAATTGTTGTATATAATTAATAGGGTTACATAAAGGACATTAGGCCATTGACTTCGTTATTCATATATATATATATATATACATACATATATGGCCTTTAGGTCATATTGAGCGCTCTACATGATGAGCAATGCCGCTTACGCATTGCGCACGCTCACTGCTTGCAGTTTGAGCGCTCTGGCATGGTCCTGATGTCCCACAATCGTGAGGCATCAAAGGTAACTGTAAATAGCAGTTACTTTCATCCTGTTCATCAGCACCACACTGATGAGACCCATAAGGCCGAAACAGTACCGTCTGTTATTATTTCCATATTCAAATATTTTTTCGATCTAGTAATTTGAAGGTCGCGGGTTCAAGACCCAGCCGCGGCAGACTTTATGTTTCTGCTTACGCTGCAGGGTATGGAAATTATATATTACACACTCGAGAACATTTTCACCTTAATATATATATATATATATATATATATAATATATATATATATATATATATATATATATATATATATATATATATATATATATATATATATATATATATATATATATATATATA